CGAATAGTGAGATAGGGTTTGAGTTCTCCGTGTGAAGCGCCAAGTGACCAGGATTCGTATGATTGATTTCAATATCGTTTGATCATCGTTCTTGCTCAATGGGTACCTTTGGTGCGATATTGGCTCGATACTTTAAATCATGTGAGAGTTGTGACTACGGTAACCAATCAATAGATTTGCCATTCCAGAGTTCGAATGTCCCCGAGTTTCATATCCCATTGCTGCTCGATCATTTTGCCACATGTACTTTGAGCTACATCAATCTGGTGGGTGAGGTCAGAGTAGCGTGTACTTTTCCATCTCTTTGAGCAGAATCTCTTTTAGTGTTTAAACTTTTTGTTCATTTTATCAGGTACTTTTCTCTTTTGTTCTTTGGTTAAGTCCTTTTTTCAAAAACGGATTGTTTTGATTTGTGTGGTTCTTCTAGTGTTCTTGTGTTTCATGCGTTTTTAATAAAACTTAAGAACGAAGTTCGAAAAATTAATTTATCCAGTTTTAATCTGGGTTTAATCTGGTTTGGGTAATTGTGAGACTCTTTCATACATGCGGTTGGTTATTAAGTATTGGAAAGCTGGGTTAGTTAGTTTAAGCTTAGTTATAATTCCTTCCAACCGGGTTAAGTTAAAATTTTAAAACACGTGAAAGTAAGTTAACGGCGTTATCAGTTAGTTTGTCAAATTGGAAATTCATTTCTAAAACAATTCTACAGTGGCAAGTTACTCAATTTGTGTGGAAATAATGCGTGAATAAGGGCGAGTGAAACAAAAAAAGCAAATTTCACAAACTTGAGCATTGTGAGCAATTTATTGCTAATTATTAAATCTATTTTGCTTGAAAAATTCATAAGGATCGGATTTGGAAAAAAAATTCTATTGTGGAAGTTGTTTTTATTTACCTTTTCACTGCGTAGAAGTTAACAAAAAAAATCTATTGCGCGGATGATGTTAACTTCATCAGAGGTTGCGTAAAATTCTTGGCTAGTGAATTGAATTAAGTTATACAACTTGCGGGATAAGTTTTAAATTGAACTTGCGGGATATTTTGGTGCAGGAGTCTTCATGTGAGAAAATATTTGTGAGGAGGAACAAGATCTACATTTGTCTAACGGGATCATAATTACGGAGGATGCCGCAGAGATTCGTTGATTTGATACAATAAACGAAGTTAAGGAAATCTGGTGATGTGTATTTAGAGTTATTTAACTTGAAAGGGTGGTGAGGGTTGCAGGATGGTGAACTGTGAAGGAATTGTCTTCGGGGAAAATTTTTCATTAAATGGGAGTATGTTTGAGTTTAGTTCTCAACATAACTTCGTGAGAACAATAAAAATCTCGTTCATTTGGTGTTAGGAAGCTGAATGTCACAGCAAATTGGTGAAACTTACTAAAAAACGGTTCGTAAGCTTTTGTGTTCTTTTTTGCATAAACTTTGGTAGATCAAAGTTTTTGTTAGTACTGTTAAGGTGAAAGATGTATTCGGTTTTGATGGAAAACTTTTCTGTTAATTGTGAAATCACTGGAGCGTCAGTATCATACTTCCATATGTCGGATGAATGTGTGATGAAACGGTTGAATCTCTGATTTAAGCCTATGTTAGTATATTGATTCAAGTGTAGTGCATTGGTATATTGGTTAAAAATTGTATCACAGATCTCATCATCGTCGGCGTATTTTCTTAATGGTACTTTACGTGGGTTAATAAAATTATAATTTGAAACCCAGAAAGAGACTGCAGAAGGGAATATTTGTCAGCATAGCATATTGGGCTCGTTGGGCTTGATTTTCAGCGTTGAAATATGTGTACTGGGGAAGAAGGGAAGGTTTTCTACAAAAAAACGGTGGTGTATTGGTATGACGTGGATCATGGTTTCGAAGAATTCTAGATGGTCGTTGGCGAAAAATTAGAATTTGTGGTGGGTTTCTTTGATATTTTCGTTTCATCAGAGTTTGTTGTGCTCGGGTGGAGGAGATGTGGACAGATGGTATGGATGGTTCGGAAGTTGAAGTGGAGTGGGTCAGTAGATGAATAGTTAGTACGTTATTGATGTTATGAATTTGTTGCTGATTAGTAATAAAATCGTCCAGGTCATGCTCAAGCTGGTCATCAGTAATTAGGCTAGGTATGTCGGCTGCATTACTCGAAAGATGGGGAAATTAGGGGTAGCGTTAGTATGTGAGGAAGTGGAAGTGGAGTTTTCAACAGGGTAGGGTTAGTTATGAGTTAAAAAGGTGGTTAAAAATTAGTGGGACTGGGCACTGAATTCGAAATTCATTGGGTGTGTCATCAGAATCCATGTGTGGTGAGTTAGATGAAAAACTGGGTAGGGGAGAAGAAATGAGATCAGAGATTGTGATAAGACGGTTGAGGGATACAACTTGGTGGCTCATCGTGGGCTAAAAAGATTATTGTTTTGAGAACGAAAGTTTTTTGTGTGTGGTTTTTCGATAATTTGATTGTATGTGTCATCGTTGTTTTGTGGTTGAAGTGTTATATGAGATAGTGCTTCGTTGTAGGTTGTTAATCTGTAACATACGTTCTGCTGCACAGAGTGCACTCCTACAATTTTGTGGTATTATTAGTAGGGGTGGTGATTTTGTGAATTGGGTAATAGTGGTGGTGATGTAGGTGTGGTACTTGTATTTCCTTATAGAGTGTCGGATGCGTTTGATTTAATGCCTTTTTTGTATTGGCTAATTTGTGCATCGAGACGGTAAGCAATTCTCGCCATACAATTTTATATTGTAGCCAGACCCAATATTGCACTGAGTTTTTTCTCCAGCAGCAGTGGTTGTTTGCTTAACGATATTGAGATTAAGTCCGGGATGGCTTTCTCATAGAGTAATTTCGGATAAGTTACACCTTCTGTTCGTCACGCTATTTTAATTTCAGCCGGATAGGTTCGTGCAACTTCTTAGTTTACTATCCATCCTAATCTACTCTTATATCTCCTAGTCTCAATAGATCAAGTCTATACTGGTTTTTTGCGCGGTGTAGAATCAAGAACTGCTCTAAGGAAGAGCAACTGTTTGGAAGGTTAAATTTATTTTTTTCAGGCTGAAACTTTAAATGGTTTTAACCTTACAAATTATCAGTCATGGATCACGGATTGGTAAGTTCTAAGTATTTTACAGATATAATTTCTAAGAATATAATAGGATCTAATAAATACTCATTTTGATTCGGTTCCACCCATCCGGGGCTTAGAAAGTTTAACAGTCTTAAGTTTGTTCTTGTCAAGGATGGATGGAGAAATTTTTTTATTTCTTCTCGGAGAAGATTCGTTTGAATCGGTGAAAAAGTGAAGAGAGAAGAGAAACAGTTGCTCCTGTTGTGGAGTAGTTGTCTTGATAGAGAGAGAAGGAGTACAGTTCCTCGTATTGTAAGAGAAAGTTTCGCGTATCGTGATTGAGTTGAGGGGTTGGATCTATGTTGCATAATTAAATGGTGAACTTTCGATTTCGTTAAAGAGAGCGAGACCACGTGCATTATCAATTATTCATCGAATAGTGAGATAGGGTTTGAGTTCTCCGTGTGAAGCGCCAAGTGACCAGGATTCGTATGATTGATTTCAATATCGTTTGATCATCGTTCTTGCTCAATGGGTACCTTTGGTGCGATATTGGCTCGATACTTTAAATCATGTGAGAGTTGTGACTACGGTAACCAATCAATAGATTTGCCATTCCAGAGTTCGAATGTCCCCGAGTTTCATATCCCATTGCTGCTCGATCATTTTGCCACATGTACTTTGAGCTACATCAATCTGGTGGGTGAGGTCAGAGTAGCGTGTACTTTTCCATCTCTTTGAGCAGAATCTCTTTTAGTGTTTAAACTTTTTGTTCATTTTATCAGGTACTTTTCTCTTTTGTTCTTTGGTTAAGTCCTTTTTTCAAAAACGGATTGTTTTGATTTGTGTGGTTCTTCTAGTGTTCTTGTGTTTCATGCGGTTTTAATAAAACTTAAGAACGAAGTTCGAAAAATTAATTTATCCAGTTTTAATCTGGGTTTAATCTGGTTTGGGTAATTGTGAGACTCTTTCATACATGCGGTTGGTTATTAAGTATTGGAAAGCTGGGTTAGTTAGTTTAAGCTTAGTTATAATTCCTTCCAACCGGGTTAAGTTAAAATTTTAAAACACGTGAAAGTAAGTTAACGGCGTTATCAGTTAGTTTGTCAAATTGGAAATTCATTTCTAAAACAATTCTACAGTGGCAAGTTACTCAATTTGTGTGGAAATAATGCGTGAATAAGGGCGAGTGAAACAAAAAAAGCAAATTTCACAAACTTGAGCATTGTGAGCAATTTATTGCTAATTATTAAATCTATTTTGCTTGAAAAATTCATAAGGATCGGATTTGGAAAAAAAATTCTATTGTGGAAGTTGTTTTTATTTACCTTTTCACTGCGTAGAAGTTAACAAAAAAAATCTATTGCGCGGATGATGTTAACTTCATCAGAGGTTGCGTAAAATTCTTGGCTAGTGAATTGAATTAAGTTATACAACTTGCGGGATAAGTTTTAAATTGAACTTGCGGGATATTTTGGTGCAGGAGTCTTCATGTGAGAAAATATTTGTGAGGAGGAACAAGATCTACATTTGTCTAACGGGATCATAATTACGGAGGATGCCGCAGAGATTCGTTGATTTGATACAATAAACGAAGTTAAGGAAATCTGGTGATGTGTATTTAGAGTTATTTAACTTGAAAGGGTGGTGAGGGTTGCAGGATGGTGAACTGTGAAGGAATTGTCTTTAGGGGAAAATTTTTCATTAAATGGGAGTATGTTTGAGTTTAGTTCT